GGAACAGGGAGCAGCTGCATCCCAAACCAGCATCTCATTCCTCATGGGAATGTCACAATCCCGTGATGGATGCAGGATTCCCAAGCACAACTTGTGACTGGAAGTGTCCAAGGCCAGAATGGAAAAACCTGGCATCCATGGCAGGATGGTCCTTAAGGTCCCTTCCATCCCAAACCCCTCTGGAATTCTCTGCTGCTCCCAAGGAATGGTTTTGGGGCAGGACGGTGCTGCCAAGCCGGGCTGGGCTGAGCTCCTTTGGAAAAACCCTTGGATAACAGATGGGAACAAAATGGTGTTGGCAGCAGAGAGAGGTTTAAGGATATCACATCCCAAATTTTGGCAGCACGGGGAGGTGACCGGAGCAGGGAGAGCTGCCAGGATTTGAGGGCAAAGAAGGAAAATCACAACAGGAATCTTGGGAATTGGGGTTTTGGGAATTCCTCAGAAGTGCTGGGGCTGAACCCCACCCCCAGCCTCTGCCAAGGCCTGGGGGTTGATTAATACCACAACAAACCTTCATTAAGAGGCCTAATTAATATTATTTCGTTTACATCCATGTGGCAGCTGTTCCCTGCTTCCCAAACAGGGAGGATTGTGTCAGGAATTGTCCTGCAGGGATACCTGGGATGGGATCTGGGGTCAGGGCTGGGGCTGGGGCCACGTTTGGGTCCAGAGGAAGGGGATCCAAAATTCCAGCCCCATCACAAAAACCCACGTCCCACGTTTCCAAAAGTTGGTGTTTTCCTTGTCACAATTACAAAATATCCCTATTTTTATCCATATTTTACGAAGATTTACAGCTCTGGGAGTGACCAAGTTGGAGCTGGGAATTCTTGTAACCCAGGGGAATTCTCTTAAAACCCAAAGGCTTTCCCAGTCCTCATCCCATCAGCAACATCCCTGTCCGTGGGGTCCATGGCAGGATGGGTGTGGGAATGTTGGATTTGATGATCCTGGAGATCTTCTCCAACCATCACAATTCCATGATTCCCGTGCTTTCCATCCCTGTTTTCTGCCTGGGTGCCCCTCCATGAATGACACTCTGTCCCCTCTGTCCCCCCCCCTGTCACTGCCAGGCCAATCCTGCCCTTCCCACCTTTAATTTGGGTTCTCAGGATTTCCTGGCCTCATTCCCGCAGCCAATTCCATGGAAATGGATGGAAGTGAATTACCTGTGACTCCCTCTTTTTACCCTCATTCCCCCAGCCAATTCCAGGGAAATGGATGGAAGTGAATTCCCTGTGACTCCCTCTTCTCACCCTGCAGGAATCTTGGAGCCATTTTGGGCAGAGCATCCAAAATTTGCCCTTTTTTTTTCCTGGAAAAGCTTCCTGAACTTTGGGCATCCTTCCAGTGGGGTTGGGAGCACCATTCCCAGTGTTTTGATGGAGTTTGGGATTCATTTATCCCAGCTCCTACAACATTCCAGCGTAACAAACCACTTTAAAAACAAATCCCTTTCTTCATGAGGGAAAAAAAAAAAATCTAACCCATCAAACAATAAACCAAGAATAAAAATCAGGAATTTTATGGCACCTCCAATAACGAACTCCATCCTCAGAAGCTCATTTACGTATTTAAGCCCTTGTTTAATATTCTAATTAGCAGTTAATCAGCCATCGAGCGAGAACAAACGGTGATTAGCTCATCTTCACCTCCTCCAGGTGATTTGGGCTCATCAGCTCCGGGAAACTTTCCTGGTATTCCTGAATTATTCATGGCCACGGGAAGTCCGGGGTGGGATTTCAGGACGGTCCAGGTGGATAACTGAGAACACGGTGACTTTTGGGGAAAAGGGAACTTTAGACGGGATTTTGGGGGAAAAATTCCTCCCTGGGAGGGTGGGAAGGGGTGGGATGGATTTCACAGGGGAGCTGTGGCTGTCACATCCCTGGAAGTGTCCAAGGCCAGGTTGGAACAACTTGAGACAGTGGAAAGTGTCTCTGCCCATTCAATTTAATTATTCTGGGCTGTCGTTTATCCCGATTCTTCCTTTCCTCTTTTCCCACAGCTTTCCAAGGAGCTGGGAAGCAAAGGAAAGCTCCCACAGGAGGCCTCAGGTCTGGAGGAGGAGCTGGTGCAATCCCAAAGGGATTCCTCGATTCCCTTTCCCTTTTTGCCGTTCCCATCCCACCGAAGGCAGGCAGGACGCTGGACTCCTCCCCGCCGTATTCCCGGGGAGCAGATCCTTAAAGCCCTTGGAATAATTTGGAAAGATTCCACCTGGTTTTGCTTGGCAAAGAAGCCCTGCCTGGCCAGGGTTTGGATCTTGAGGATTGGATGTCTGGGAGCAGGGATCAGCTGAGGTGACGAGGACTGGGCTGGCTCCCAGGAGAATCCATGAGGCACGAGCAGGTGGGAGAGAGAGAGGCAGGAGCTCCAGACAGCTGCTTCCCGGAATTTTAATTAATTCCCGAGCTTTTTAGTCTTCCCAGACGCCAGCTTTGCCAGGCTCTGGATTCCTGGCTCCTGGGATGGATCACGAAGGTCAGAGCTGCTCCTTGCCAAGGCAGAGCTCCCTCACTGCTGCCCTCAGCGATTTTTGGGAAGCTGTGCTGCCTCTGGAAGCAGCAAGATCAGCTGGAGCAGCATCCCTGGATGTGCTGGAGCTCATCCATCCCATCCCAGTGCAGGACAGGAGCTCCCGAGGATTCCTGGATCCTCCTGGATGTCCAGGATGCTCCACAGACACAGCAGAGCTTTTCTTGCTCTGTCCTGGAAGTGGCTTTTCCCTGCTCCAGGACCTGAGCTCAGCCCAAGTGGCTTTTCCCTGCTCCAGGACCTGAGCTCAGCCCTAATCCCTCCTGGAAGTGATTTTTCCCTGCTCCAAGTCCAAAACTCAGCCCTTGATCCCTCCTGGAAGTGATTTTTCCCTGCCCCAAGTCCAAAACTCAGTCCTTGATCTTTCCTGGAAGTGGCTTTTCCCTGCTCCAGGACCAAAACTCAGCTCCCAGCCGCTTCCAGCCCTCATTCCCTTCTCCCAGCTCCTTCCAGGTCCATCCATCCCAAAAGTGGGAAGGGGTCAAAGGACGGGAATTCCCCCTTTTCCCGCTTCAGCCCGGTCCCGGGGGATGCTCCAGCCCCTTCCGGAAGGAAAGCCGCGTTTTTCGGGAATATCCCAGGCTGGAAGAGCCAATTCCACGGGCTGACAGCTCCCTCTCGTGGGGAGAAAAGTCAGGGAGAGCTGGGATGTGCTCCAGATGTGCGGCACAGCTGGAGCGGGATTCCCGGAGGGGCTGGAAAATGGGAATTCAACGGGAATTCCAGGGAAAAGGACCGGGAGGCTCAGCCAGGCTGTTCCTTCCCCTCTCCCTACAGGGATTTTTGGGATCTGGAAGAGGGCTGGATGTTTTCCAGCTGTTCCATCTCCACATTTGGGTTTCAGGAATGACATCCAAGCTGCTTCCTCCTGGGATGAAGGACTTCATCCCTCTTCCCAACTGCAGGAATGTGTTTTTTGTTGACGGAGTGACTAAATTATCTTTTGTCTCTTTAAAAAGGAAAAAAAAGCTTAGAAGTTCTTCTCTTTCATTTGCTAAAAAGATACTTTATAGAACTTTTGAGACTTTACTTTAAACTTAGGGCTGTCTAATTAGACAGAGACTAAATTAAAGTCTTACCTAAATAATTCACTAGAAAAAGACGAGAACAAAGGAAATAATTGCTTTTATAGAGTGTTTCAGTAAGACTAAAAACCTCTTACCCCTAGCTCAGTTTTCTCTGAAAAAGCTTTGTTATTTTACCTTTTATTAAAACTTTTCTGTTTCCAACACCACCTCAGAAGCCATCCTACTAATTTTATGCCATTTGGAGTAACAAAACTATTTAAAGTGTAATAAGTTCTCTGACAGCTCGTAAGACCCAGCTCAAAGAAAAACTTATCACCCAACTTCATCCCAATCCCCAACTTCAACCCTCAAAATTCTGAGCCCACCATGGCCTTGCTTTGATCCAAAGAAATCCACGCATTATTCCAGTTATTAAGAATCCAGCTTGGTTTTATTGTCCATTTTTTTCCAAAAAATTGGTGTTTTCCTCATCACAATTATAAAATATCCCTATTTTTATCCCTATTTTACAAAGATTTACAGCTCTGGGAGTGACCAAGTTGGAGCTGGGAATTCTCTTAAATAATCAAACCATGATTTAGGTTTTGGGGAGGCTTTAAAAATTCCAATTTAAAAAAGAAAAGGGAAGGCTTAAAAAAGGGGGATTTCCACCAGCTCCTTCAAACATCACAGGGAATTATAAAATTTATTCCTTTCTTTTTTTGGAGGGGGGAAAGGGTGCAGGGAGCAGATTTGAAACCCCATGGATAGAAACAGGATTAGAGGCCCTGATTCTGATTTATGGAATTATAAAATTTATTCCAGTTTTTTTTGTTTGTTTTTTTGTTTGTTTTTTTTGGTTTTTTGGGTTTTTTTTGGAAAAAGGGTGCACGGTGCAGATTTGAAACCCCATGGATGGAAACAGGATTAGAGGCCCTGATTCTGGTTTACATAAAGACCCCTTTACAGATTCTGGCAGCACAGAGGAACCCCAAAGTGTATTTAAATAAAATTTATGCCACCTCTAAGATTTCTTTATGCTGCCAGAACTGTGTAAAAGAAAATCAGCTCCCAAATTTGGGTTTATTCCCAAAATTAACATTTTTGGGCTGCGTTTTCCCCACGTCCGGGGGAAAGCACAGAAGCTTCTCCTCATGGGATTGCAGTGAAAGGGATTTTTGGGAAGGGATTTTCCTCGGGGAATTGCTCAGAACGGGGGGCAGCACAGAGGAACCCTAAAGCGTATTTAAATAAAATTTATACCACCTCTAAGATTTCTTTATGCTGCCAGAACCGTGTAAAAGAAAATCAGCTCCTAGATTTAGGTTTATTTTAGGGCTGTGTTTTCGCCGCGCCCACCCTCACCCCAGAACCGGGAAAGCGCGGAAGCTGCTCCCTGTGGGATTGCAGCGTTATGGTCACTTTGGGAAGGGATTTTCCGCCGGGAATCGCTCAGAACGAGGGGCCCTTGACGCTGCCCGGCTCCGTCAGGCGTGCGGCCGCGTAGGCCGAGGCTCCCAGGCACGCGGCCGGCTCGCAGAAGCCCGGCAGGCCCGCGGGCCCCGGGGAGCCCGGCCGGCCCGCCTCGCCCGGGGAGCCCGGCAGGCCCCGCTCGCCCGCCTTGCCGTCCACAGCGTGGCCTGGGATGCCCGGGAGACCTGGAAAGGCAAGGAGGTGGGGTGGACGGGGTGCTGAGGCTCAAGCTGAGCTAGGGGTTTGCCTGAGAAATAGGGGTTTTACCTCAGAAATAGGGGATTTACCTCAGAAACATGTTTGTTTTGGGGTTTTTTTTCCCCCTGAGAAATAGGAATTTTTCCTCAGAAATAGGGATTTTTCCCTCAGAAATAATACCGATTTTTTTCCCTGAGAAATAGGTATTTTCCCTGAGAAATAGGGATTTTTCCCTCAGAAATAGGCATTTTCCCTCAGAAATAGGGATTTTCCCCTCAAAAATAGGGATTTTTCCCTCAGAAATAATACAGATTTTTTTTTCCCTGAGATATAGGGGTTTTTTTTCCCCTGAGAAATATGTATTTTCCCTGAGAAATGGGGGGGTTTGCCTGAGAAATAGGGGTTTCATCTGAGAAATAGAGATTTTTCCCCTCAGAAATAGGGATTTCCCCTCAGAAATAGGGATTTTCCCCTCAGAAATAGGGATTTTCCCTCAGAAATAGGCATTTTCCTCTCAGAAATAGGCATTTTTCCCTCAGAAATAGAGATATTTTTTTTCCCCTGACAAATAGGAATTTTTCTTCAGAAAGAGGGATTTTACCCTCAGAAATAATACCGATTTTCCCCTGAGAAATAGGGAATTTTTTTCCCTCAGAAATAGGGGTTTTCTCCTGAGAATTAGGGGGTTTTCCCTGAGAAATAGGGATTGGGGAATGCTGCTGGAGAGGTTTGGGGATGCGGGCAGAGCAGTTTCAGAGAGAGGGAAAGAGGTGGCAGAGATGAGGAAGAAGGAAAGGAAGGATGATCCAGGTGGGAGATTTTTGGGATGAGCCCTAGGCAGATTTTGCAGGATGAATCTGGGAAAATTGATAGGATGAACCTGGGCAGGTTTTGTGGGATAAACCTGAGCAGATTTACAGGATGAGCCTGGGCAGTTTTTGTGGGATGAACCTTTTGTGGGATAAACCTGAGCAGATTTACAGGATGAGCCTGGGCTGTTTTTGTGGGGTGAACCTGGGCACATTTATGGGATGAACCTGTGCAGTTTTTGTGGGACGAACCTTTTTGTGGGATAAACCTGAGCAGATTTACAGGATGAACCTGAGCAGTTTTTGTGGGATGGATCAGAAGATCCCCAGCCACTGCTGGGCTCATCACCCCAAGGTGACAAAGGCCACCTGGGGACACCTGGTCTCACCTGGGATCCCTGGAGGCCCCGGCATTCCTGGGTGGCCACGGCCAACCTCTCCCCGCTCGCCCTTCTCTCCTCTCTTTCCTGTGGGTACAAAAAGGAGGGAAGGACTCCATGGAAACCCTGGATGGGCGATCAGGGACAGGGACAAGCGTGGCAGTGCCACCCCAGGAGGGTTTGCACTGGCACCGTGCCACCGCCACCCACCTTTGGGTCCGACATTGCCGATCTGCCCAGCAGCTCCCAGGATTCCGGGGACACCTCGGGGTCCCATGGGGCCGTGGGGTCCCTGGTCACCGGGTGGCCCTGGGGGGCCGGGGGGGCCGGGGGGTCCCATGGCCCCGACCCCACCCAGGGCGGCTCTCTTGGCACTCACGGCCACCTCTGCCAGCTGCTCTGTGGGGCAGAGAGGGGCCGGGATGGGATCCATGGGGTGGGATCCATGGGATGCATAGGGTGGGATCTATGGGAAGGGATCCACAGGGTGGGATCCATAGGAAGGGATCCATGGGATGGGATCCTCGGGATGCATAGGGTGGGATCTATGGGATGGAATCCATGGGATGCATAGGGTGGGATCCATGGGAAAGGATCCACGGGGTGGGATCCATGGGAAGGGATCCACAGGGGGGGATCCATGGGATGGGATCCATAGGAAGGGATCCATGGGGTTGGGATCCATAGGATCCACAGGGGGCAATCCATAGGGTGGGATCCATGAGAAAGGATCCATGGGATGGGATCCATGGCATGCATAGGGTGGGATCCACGGGAAGGGATCCACGGGGTGGGATCCATGGGATCCATGGGATGGGATCCATGGGATCTATGGGATGTGGTGGCCCCACTCCACCCTCACCTTGCAGCATCTTCAGCACCACGTCCACAATGTGTTGGTCCCCAGCATCCCGGCCCTGCCAGGAAGGGAATTTCGCTCCTTCTGTTGCCTCCCAGAACCCTTCCCAGCCCAAATCCCAATCCCCATCCCCTCCCTGCATCCCAGGTCACCTTCCCACCCTGCTCTTCCCCGTTCTGTCCCAGGGCAAGTGCTCCATGCTCAGCTCACTCCGTGCTCATGGCATTTGAGTCCAAAATGAGGTTTTTAGGGAAAAATCCCAACCCTGCAAATCCTTGCTGCTGGCTGGTTTATATGGGGAGGGATTTGGATGCCATACACAGTGGGAAAGACAGAATTCCTCCCCAGGAAGGCGGGATCCCAGCTGCTGAGTGGAACAGCAGTGTTTTCCCAGAGGAATTGGGTGGGAAGGAGAGGCAATTCCTGCCGAGCAGGGAGTGTGAGGAGGTTTGTGGGATCGGGATACTCACGGCTGTGCCCCTCGGGCCCGGCATTCCCGGCACTCCACGCTCCCCCACCAGCCCCCGCGGGCCGGGCGGGCCGGGATAGCCCCGAATTCCCGGTGCTCCTGCATCCCCCGAGGGGCCGGGAAAGCCGAGGTCTCCCTGGATGCCTTGCTGGAGGAGGGATGGAGAGAGAGGGACATGAGAGGCTCAGGCTGTGCTCGGGGGCTGCACCCCGAGAGCTCAAAATGTCCCAAAAACCACAGGCAGGGCTGGGTCCCAAGCAGGGCTGGGGCTGAACCCAGGGCTGGATCCCAAAAACTGGGGCTGGATCTCAAAAATTTGGGCTGGGACTGAATCCAGGGCTGGATCCCAAACTGGGGCTGGGGCTGAATTCAGGGCTGGATTCCAAATGGGACTGGGGCTGGATCTCAAAAATTGGGGCTGAGGCTGAATCCAATGCTGAGCCCAGATCTGAGCCTGAATCCAGGGTTTAACCCCAAAGAGGAGCTGAGCCTGAATCCAGGGCTGACTGGGGTCACTGGCTCCCATCTCCAGAGAAAATATTCCCTTAGCACCTCAGCCAGGAGGATCCAGCTGAAGATCCCACAAATCCCCCAAGTTGTGGGGTCCCCTCGGTCCCAATCCCCCCATCACTCACCTGTCCCTTGGGTCCTGGCTCTCCTGACTCCCCCTGGGGACAGAGGACACAGGAAAGGAGACAGCAGGGATTTAGGGCTGGAGCTGGGATTTAATGCCAGGCAGGATCCCCCAGCATGGGAAGGGATCCCCCAGCATTCCCAGGAATCACCTGGAAGCACCCACCTTCTCTCCCTTGAGCCCTGCCAGGCCGTGGACACCTGGATCTCCCTAAAGGAAAGGCAAGGGGAGATGGGAACATTCCCAAAGTCACCCCCACGCTCTGGGATGAGGGGGGAATTCATGGAGAAGGTGCCTAGAGCCAGTGTTAAACCCAGCTCTGTTAAACCCAGCTCTGTTCAACAGCCTGGGATGTACTCACAATGCTGCCTTTGGGGCCAGTTTTCCCTGGAGAACCCTGGGAAAAGGAAAAAGTGGGATCAGGCCAGCTCAGAGCAGAGCCCCCAAGAAGCCACCTTGCTGTCCCCAGAGCTGTCACCTTGTCTCCTTTGACTCCAGGCAAGCCTTGGGGTCCTGGGATGCCTGGTGGGCCCTGCTCGCCCTTTGGCCCCTGGAAATCCAAGGAATATGGGAGAATGAGTGATGGGAGACAATGGGAAGACTTTTACCCATCAGGGAATTGTCCCCAAGGCAGTGAGGTGCACAGGCAGCTCCCATCCTCCAGCTGATCCCAGCATCCCAACCTTCCCTAAATCCCAGCTCTGAGGGCACAAAACCAAGGAGAAGCCATGCCCAGAGCAGTGATCTTCCAGGGGTGGATTCCTGTCCCCCAGTAAAAGCACCAAAAATCAGGGGTTTGGCTGTTTTTCCAGTGCAGGAAAGCTCTGGAGAGGGGCTGGGCTCTCCTGGGATGGGAGGAAATTCCTGTCCCAGCTGGGGTCCCACTAATCCCTGAGCTATTCCCTAATCCCTCAGCAGCAGGACAGGCACGGGATTGACCCTGGGATCAAAGGGGGAAGTCTGGCTGTGTCCCACTGACCCCAAATCCAGGCTTGGAATCTCCCATCCCAGGGCTGAGCATCCCCCGTGTGCCAGCCTGGATTTGGGGACAACTCAGAGCATTCCCCGTGTCCCAGAGTGGCTTTGGGGACAACTCAGAGCATCCCCCATGTCCCAGCCCAACTTTGGGGACAACTCACCGGCTTTGGGGACAACTCACCACTCTGCCCGGCTCCCCGGGGGGTCCCACGAGGCCACGCTCGCCCCTGTCACCCTGCGGAGAGTCAGAGGAGCGGAGTCAGGGCCACCCGCCCTGGCACGGCCACACCCCCGCGATGTCCCCAGCTCACCTTCGGCCCGGGGACACCCTGCGGGCCCTGCTCACCCCGAGGTCCGGGCTCGCCCTAAAAATGAGAAAGAAAATCCCACAAAAGATGGGATTGACCGGCGTGGTGTGCTCCTTGTCCTTCCACGAGAGAGGAGTGGCCCTGTCCTTGTCGCCACCGCAGGGTGGTGACAGGAGCAGGGTTTCCCCGGAGGAGCAGGCGGGGAATGAAGTGCCCGATTCTGCTTTTCGCAGGAAACGGGGAAATAAAAGGAAAAAAGAGAGAGCTCAGCCCCGAAGCTGTCCCCGGGAGGGACACGGCGACATCTCGGTACTTACAAGCTGCCCTGGGGCACCGGTGACACCGGGGTGGCCCCGAGGACCCGATTCACCCTGTGAAGGGAGAGAGAGGCGGTTCAGAGGGGACGGGGGCGACAGGGAGAGACAGCAGGAACAGGGAGGGACATGGAGGGGACAAGAGCCGCGGGGTGGATGCTCAGAGTTGTCACTCACCTTGTCACCTGGGCCACCTTTGCTTCCCGGCTGGCCCGGCAAACCCTAAGGGAACAAAGCCGGGATCAACCCCTGGGCACAGCTCAGTGTTCCCCTCAGGGAGTCACCCCTGGGCACAGCTCAGTGTCCCCTCAGGGTGTCACCCCTGGGCACAGCTCAGTGTCCCCGAGGGGTGCTGGCCCTGGCACCCCTGGCAGAGGGTGTCACCCCTCAGGGGACAGGCTGGGGGGTCCTGCACTCACAGCTTGTCCCCGGTGTCCCGGTGTTCCCGGGCGTCCGGCCTGTCCTGTGCCACCCTGCGAGGACAGAGGGGCGTCACCAGGAGTGGGGTGCCCACAGGTGGGCAAGGGGCTCTTGCCCAAGGGGGGACAGTGTCCTTGAGCTCGTGGCCAGGAGCTGCTGTGCCAAGGGACATTGTTCCCTTTGTCATTCCCGTTATTCCCAGCGGGTGGCATTCCCTCACCTTCACTCCTGGGATGCCTGGGGTGCCATCCTTGCCATCGATGCCCGGGAGACCCTGAAAAGGGGGAGGAGGCACTCATGGGACATCTCAAAGGGACTCAAAGGCTCACAGTGGGGACAAAAAAACGTGGGGAGGGAAAGGAACGTTCCAGGTGTGCGCTGGAGGGAACAAGGACACACAGTGGCACAGCCAGGGACAAGGGGCTCGTGCCCAGGCAGGGCACAGGTGCCACCAGCTGTACTCACGTTCTCCCCCTTGGGGCCGATGTCACCCTGCGGTCCCCTGATGCCACGGCCACCCTAGAGCAGGAGGTGACAAGTGTCAGTGTCCTGCTGCTGTCCTGAGAGGTGAAGATGCCCCTAGAGGCAGAGCCTTTTCCATGTTTTCCATATGGGAACAGTGCCAAGCTGGGGAAAAGGGGACACTGGCATTGGGGTGTCACCTACCAGCTCTCCCTTGTCACCAGGGCCCCCAGGTGGTCCCTTGGGGCCTTCCCTGCCCTGGAGGAGAAAGGAACACAAGGATTGAGTGGGGCAAAGTGGGACCCCAGAGCACCCAGGGCTGAGGGAGGGGCACCCACCGGCCGCCCGGCAGCTCCGATGCTCCCGACCATGCCCTTGTAGCCAGCAGGGCCCTGCAAAGAGAGCATGGAAAGGTCAATTCCCACCCCAATCCATCCTTGCATCCCTGAGACGGCTCAGCATGGAGGGATGCTGCTGGGAATAATCTCAGTGGGATCTGGAGCCCGGGGCCAGGGGATGCCACCCGCACTCACCGTCTCCCCCTTGGGTCCTGCCATGCCTGGATACCCCCTGAGGCCCTGAGGTCCCTGCAGGGAAGAAAACCACAGCAAATTCAGCTGGAAAAAAAACCCCAGGAGCAGCCCAGGGGGAAGCAGCAATTACAGCAAAACCCAACAGTGGAATCCAAACATGAGGAATTCCAGTCCCTCCTAATTCCAGAGCCCCCCAGCAGGTGCTTTTCCAGCTGTCAATTCCATAACTCCAGAGGGCCCAAACTGCAGCCACTTCCCTGGGCCAGAGCTCTTAGCTTCAAAGTAGTTTTGCCCTTTCCTGGCCTGCAGGGTTCAGCCCAGTAATTGTTTTTCATCTTCAAAGTGCTCTGAGAATTCCTGTGGCTTTAATTCCCACCGGGGCAAGGGGGACTCAGGGGTTTGTCCCAAATTATCGCTGGGAGCAGCCCAGGTGCCCATGGAGCCCTCCAGAGGGAGAGATGGTGGCATCCATGTCTGGGAGGGGATGGGATGAAGGCTTTGCTTCAGTCCCAGTGCTGGGAGCAGGGACAGGCTGGTGTCACCTCCCTGGTGTCTGGGGACACCAGGACAAAGAGGCCACCCCCAGTTCTTGAACACTTGGGGGACAGAGGAAAAGAGGAATGAAGGATTTACCGGAGGACCTGGGACTCCTTGTTCTCCAGAGGCACCAACATCCCCCTTGGGGCCCTGGGAATGGAGAGAAAAGGGAATGTTGGAGGGAGAGGGGACACGAAGCAGCCTGGGGACACCACAGCCCCCACCTGGCACCCGGCAGGGGATGGGGACAGGTGACCCTGCCCAGGAAGCCACCCTGGTCTCCCATTCCCATATTTTCCGTTTTCCTTTCCTCCCTTCTTCCTTTCTCTTCCCAAAACTCCTTCCCTGGCTCCAGCCTCACAGGGACAGCCACACCTGGATCCTGCTGGGACCTGCTGAGATCCTGCTGGGATCTGTCTGAGATCTGGTGGGGATCCTGCTGAGATCTCACTGGGATCTGGCTGAGATCCTGCTGGGATCTTCTGGGATCCTGCTGCAACACTCACCGGCTCTCCCTGCTTGCCAGGCTCTCCGAGGGCACCGGGGCGGCCTCTGTGTCCCTGAGGGGGGAGAGAGGAAATCCCTGGCAGAGCTGCAGGGTGGTGGCACCACCCTGGGGTGGCCATGTCCCATAGAGCCCCCCTGCCAGCACAACCCACCCTGGGGTGCTGCTGGGGATGTGGTGGGGCTCAAAATCCCACTGGGGACACTGGGGGGCTCGGAATCCCAGTGGGAACATTGGGGTGCTCAGAATCCCACAGGTGACATGGAATGGGCTCAGAATCCCACTGGGGACATTGGGGAGGTTCACAATCCCACAGGTGACATCCTGAGCTGGGGTTGGGACTTTGGCACAGGGTACCACCCCCAGGAAGGGGCTGGGGACCCACAGGGACCTTTTCCTCCAGGCCTCCCTGTCCTGGTGCTCCAGAGATCCAGAGAAGGATCCTTCACTCCACCACATCCTGGAGGTGACAATTCCCATTTTTGCCCCCATGGCAGCTCCAGGACTTCCTTACCTTCAGTCCCTGCAGTCCCTGGGGGCCCTTGGGACCTGGGGGGCAGCTGGTGGGGCACTGGGAGGAGAGAAAGGACAAAGATGAGTTGGGAATGACCTGGAGAAGCCTGGGAAGAGAGGGAGGGAGGGGACATGGGGGATGCCCTGGTCACAGCAGGGGACACAGTCATGGCAGGACTCTCACCAGGAAATCAGCGCTTCCTTCCAGGCCTTGGAGGTGTCCTGGAAGTCCCTGCAGAGGAGGAAACCCTCAGCATTCCAGGATTTTACATCGGGATGGTTTTACAGGAACAGGGAACAAGGAGTGGGGTGGGAGGTGAGAGCCAGAGCCCGAATTCCAGCCCCAATCCCGAGGATGAGTCTGGGGAATCTTCTCCCTCCTGGAGGTGAAAGGGAGATACTCACAGGTTTCCCTGGAGGGCCTGGGGGACCCCTCGGGCCATCGGGTCCAGGGTCACCCTAGGAAAGGAGGCCAGGAAAGGAGAATTTGGGATCAGGAGGGGAGGTAGAAACCTGGACAGTCCCAGCAGGAATGGGGACATCCCCAGGGTGATGGCACCAGGGGAACCTCCATTCCCACAATTCAGGGTCATCCCTGATCATCCCAGGAGCCTGGAGGGCAGAGAAGCAGCTCCTGGTGGAAGGAGGGGACGTTCTTCCCTGTCCCCTCCTGACTCCTCACCTTGGGTCCCAGCACTCCGATCTCCCCGGGAAGTCCAACCTGGCCTGGAAGCCCCTTAGGGAGAAGGGAGAGAAATTCACGGAATGAGAGAGGTCCCATCCTGATTCCTCCCCTCTGGGGGTGCTGAGGTTTGAGCTCCTCCTGCACAATTCCAAGCAGGACCCCAGGCCACCCATCCCAGCCCCAGTGTGGCACTTACGGGGGGTCCTGGCAGTGAAGGACCCTGCGACAAAAAAAAAAAAAAATTACAATTGCTTCAAACTCCCCAAATCCTCCAGAATTCCTGCCCCAAGGAGGGCGATTCCCACCCCACCACCAAGGATGGAGCAGGGGGGACTTGGGGGGTGCCCACCCCACCCATGGGAGCAGCAGATACTCACAGGGAGCCCTGGTGGCCCTGGGAGTCCAGGCTGGCCCTGCCAGGACACAAGAGGAGAGTCAGGAGCTGGAAAAGGAGGATCTGCTCTGGCAGCTGCTCCAATTCCACCTCCCTGGATGCAGCCTCAGGGCCAAAAATTCCATCAGGCAGCTCCTGCATCCATGGATCCCTTCCAGAGTGACAGGGATGGCCCCAGGCTGGGATGGGGGGAAGGGAGGAGTCTGGGAAGGTGGGAACTTGGGAAGGTGGGAAATTGAGAAGGTGGGAATTTGGGAAGGTTGGAAATTTGGGAAGGTGGAAGCCTGAGAAGGTGGGAGACTGGGAATGAGGGAGCTTGGGAATTTGGGAATTTGGAAAGGTGGGAATTTGGGAAGGTGGGAATTTGGGAATGAGGGAGCCTGGGAATGAGGAGCCCAGGAGTGCCCCTCACTCACTTTAATTCCTGGCCTGCCAGTGGGTCCTGGCTCCCCTTTGGCTCCTGTCAGGCCCTGCAAGGGAAGAGACCCAGCGAGTTATTCCCATTGCTCCTGCTCTCCAGCCAGGAATTCTTGCTGGGTTGAATCCATCAGGAATTTCACGCACAGGGATGCCCTACAGAGACCCTCACACACACCCTGGGCACATCCAGCCCTGGCAGGGACACGTGGGCAGCTCCACCCAGCCTTGATCCCAGTTTTATCCTTGCGATGGGGCAGGAACCCACCCAAACCTCCCCAGGCACCCATCACACACCCTGGGGACATTCAGGGTGAGGTGGCAGCTCCGTCCCCTTCCTGCCACCACCTCTGCCAGGCTGTGCCAAGGAGGGGACAGTGGCAAAGTCACTGGTGCCACCTTATGGTTACCAAGGGAGTGGGGACAGTAGGGAATTGCTTCAGATTTATTCTGGAGGAAACAAGAGGAGCTCTGCTGGGATTCCCAATGTGGGAAAAAGTGGCAGAAGCTCTTTTGGGATTCCCAAAGTGGAAAGGAGTGGCAGAAGCTCTTTTGGGATTCCCGAAACGGGAGAGGGTGGCAGAAGCAGTTCCCAAGCTCTTTTGGGATCCCCAAGGTGGGCAGGAGTGGCAGAAGCTCTTCCTGAGCTCTGCTGGGATCCTAAAGGTGGAAAAGGGTGTCAAAAGCTCTTCCTGAGCTTATTTGGGATTCCCCAGGTGCTTTCAGCTCCTGCCCAAAGGGATTTGGGCACGTTTTTATGTGGGACAGACCCTGGGGACAGGAGCAGTTTGTGTGACCCCACAGACAGGGACACCAGGAGGGGACAGGGGACAGTTCTCACATCAATTCCCAGCTTCCCTGCGGGTCCATCCGGACCAGGAGCTCCAGGCTCGCCCTTGACACCCTGGAAAAATGAAAAATTGGGATCAGGTGGGAAGGAGGCCCCGTGGAAGGAGCGGGATCACCGGGATGGGGTGGGTACTCACCGGGGTGCCAGCAGATCCTACAGGGCCTTTGTCACCCTGAGAAAGGAGAGGTGGAAAAGGGATGGGGCACCCCACAGAGCCCATCCCGGGGACCCCGATCCCTGTCCTGCTCCTGGGACAGGAGGGAGCTGCTGGGTCCCACAGGCAGGGCAGGATGGGGGCAGGGTTGGGAAAGTGGGTTGGGATTGTGAGGGGTTTAGTGGGGTTTATGAGGGTACTAGTGGGGTTTGTGAAGATTTTTTGGGGTTTGTGAGGGTTTTAGTGAGGTTTTGTGAGAGGGAATTGGTGAAGGTTGTACTAGGGTTTTGTGAGGGTTTTATTGGGGTGAGGGTTTTTTGGGGTTTGTGAGGGTTTTTTGGGGTTTTGTGAGGGTTTTCGTGGGGGTTGTACTAGGGTTTTGTGAGGGTTTTATTGGGGTGAGGGTTTTTTTGGGTTAGTGAGGGTTTTTTGGGGGTTTTGTGAGGGTTTTCATGGGGGCTTGTGAGGGTTTTAGTGGGATTTGTGAAGGGGGGTTTTCTGAGGGTTGAGCTAGGGTTTTGTGAGGGTTTGATGGGGTTACTGAGGGGGGGTTTTGTGAGGGTTCTACTGGGATTTTGTGAGGGTTCTGCTGGGGTATGTGAAGTGGGATTTTGTGAGGGTTGTTTTGGGGTTTTGTGAAGGTTTGATGGGGTTTCTGAGGGGGCTTTTGTGAGGGTTTTACTGGGATTTCGTGAGGGTTGTGCTGGGGTTTCTGAAGCGCTGTGGCTGCTCTGGGTATAAATAACACTAAAATAACACCACATCCTGGAGAAAGGGCACTTTCTGCTGCCTCACAGGGCTCCCCTCTGTTCAGGCCCCCATCCCACAACCCGTGGAGGATCCAGAGCCACAATCCCCCACCACATCCCTCTGCAGGAACCCCACTGGGGTGTCACTGTCCCCCCACAGGTCCCCCCTTCACTGGGCACCTCTGGGGTGCTCCCTGCCCCAACCCCTCCGAGCACCCCAACCTCCCTGTCCTGCATCCCCAAAAACCAATCCCACCCCCAATTCCCCAGCTGTGGATGGAGCTGGATTTGGGGTGCAGCACCAAACGGAGCTGGGGCTGCTCTGTCTGCCCTAAATCAGGAGTGGGAACAGCACGGAGCTGCACCCCCGGCCCTGTGCCACTCACAATGTCCCTTTTGTGCTGCGTGTCCCCTCCCTCCCTCCCTCCCTCAGCCAGCACAGGTTGCTGCTCACTCACATCGATGCCATCGGCTCCCGGCACTCCTGGGGGACCGGGGGGCCCTCGTGGGCCAGGCTCTCCTGGGGGCCCTCGCTGTGGAAAAAGGGATGGGATCCACGTCAGGAAGGACCCCGAGATGTGTGGGGAATGTGCTGGGAATTCACTTCCAGGGAGCTGGGATGGAGAACACCCCGAGGGCTCAGAGCTCTGCCCCTCCTGTGGATCCTCCAGCAAGGGCATGGATGGGGAAATCCAGGATTTCTCACACTGGCACCTCCAGCTCCTCACTCTCTGCCTAATTTCTATCCCATTTCTCTCCTCTCCTGCCCTGGTGCCCATGGGGAACAGAGCAGGGTCTCCATGGGGTGATAGCAGCATTTTTACCCCTGCTTCCTCTTTCCCTGGTGCCCAAGGATCTCCTGACCCCATGGAGCAGGATCTCCATGGGATAACATTTTACCCCACCTCTGCTCCCTCTTTCACTGGTACTTGAGGATCTCCTGCCCCCATGGAGTGGGATCTCCATGGGATGACATTTTTACCCCATCTCTACTACCTCTTTCCCTGGTATCCAAGGATCTTCTGCCCTGATGGAGCAGGATCTGCATGGGATGACATTTTTGCCGCATTTCTTCTCCCTCTTTCCCTGGTGCTCCTGCCTGGATGGAGCAGGCTCTCCAAGCATTTCTACCCCATCTCTGTCCCCCTTTCCCTGCCACTCCCAGAGCAGGGTGTCCATGGGGTGACAGCAGCCCTTCCAAAGACCCCTTTTAGCTCAGAGTGGGATTTTCGGGAGCACTGTCAGGATTTAGGTGCCCAAAACCCCAGGATGAGGTGGGGACCCCCAGCCCCTCTGTGTGAGCTCTCCCTGGGCCAGGCTGGCTCCGCTCCCAGGCTCCAGACAAAAGCTCCATTCAGGGAAGCTCCCAGAGCCTGCTCCTGGCTTTGAGGTTTGCACAGGACTCGGCAAAGAAACCTCTGTTATCCTAACAGGGAGTTCAGGGGGAAGAGATTCCGGTCCTGCAGACTGAAGCCCTGGTGTTCCTGGAAATGGGAAGCAGGCGGTGGCTGGGCTGCACTCCTGCAGCTCCTCCAGCCTCCCAGGCTGGATTAATTTTAAAAATTAATATAAATATAAGGAATAAATGTAGGAATCGGTGTAAATCTATAGGGGTGAGAGGTGCTGCTGGTTCGTGTACACAACAGGAGAGCCCCAGCTCCACCTTGGATCAATCCCTGAGCCCATCCCCGGGATCTCCCCTGAATGGCACCTTTGTCCTGCCCAAGGAACGAATTCCAAAGGGCTCCTTGTTCCTGAAATTCCCACATCCCCCCTGCTCCGCTCCCCTGCCCCACAAGCCCATGGGGACCCCGGTGAGGGTTTAGGAAGGAGTTGTCCCCCAGTTTCCAACAGGCAGCTCAGGAATTACACGGAAAAATTCTCCAAAACCTCTAAAAACTGATTTTTTTTTTTTTTGCAGCTGTAAAAGGAGTTTTCCCAGGTGGAATCCCTCTGCCTGCCCCTCTCCAGGGCTCACCTTCCCTTTTTCCAGACCCATTTTCTCCTGCTGCTGGGTGAGTCTGGAGAGTCCACGGGGACCCCCCGACAGCCCCACAGAGCCCTGGGACCACCCCGGCAGGGTCAGAGCCCCCCCAGCCCTCCTCAGTCCGGATCTGCAGCACATCCCGGGAAAACAGGAGCAAATTTCCCAAAAAATCCAGTGGGGAAGACAAAGCGCCCCAGTGCTGCTCCAGAGGGAAAATCAAACCAAACTCATTTAGCCAACAATTCCCGAATTTCCAGTCCGCACAGAGAGCCCGCACGGGTCGGGGCTGTGGCTGTTCCCACCCTCCAGGGGCGACATTCCTGGGAAAAACACGGGAAAAGTGCTGGGGGAATAAAGCCAAAGTGCTCAGAACTGCGAGGGAGCGGAGATGGGGAATGTCCCCTCTGCATCCCCTTCTCCATCCCCTTCTGCATTCCCTTCTGCATCCCCTTCTGCATCCCCTTCTCCGTTCCCCTCTCCATCCCCTCTCCATCCCGGGAATCGAGCACGGCACTCACGAGCTGGGCCAGGCAGAGGCAGGAGGCTTGGAGCAGGATGTTCCCACCCTCCAGGGGCGACATTCGTGGGAAAAACACGGGAAAAGTGCTGGGGGAATAAAGCCAAAGTGCTCAGCACTGCGAGGGAGCGGAGATGGGGAATGTCCCCTCTGCATCCCCTCTCCATCCCCTTCTCCATCCCCTCTCCATTCCCTTCTCCATCCCTTCTCCATCCCTTCTCCATCCCCTCTCCATCCCGGGAATCGAGCACGGCACTCACGAGCTGGGCCAGGCAGAGGCAGGAGGCTTGGAGCAGGAGCCAGAGCTGCGACACCAGGGTGGTGGCACGGGCCATGGCGAGCCGGGCTGGCACCGAGCGCGGCTGGCACCGAGCGCCGGCCGCCGCAGCGCTCCGGGACACCGGGAGGGCCGGGCGAGGAGGAGGAGGAGGAGGAGGAGGAGGAAGGGGCTCATGAATATGGAGCAGAGGGATGAGGGCAGGTCCCCGCCCCTCTCAGGTGAGCCCGTGGCTGTTGTGGCTGGATGGGGACAGAGGGTTTGGCAAGATGAGGACGGGATTTGGCACGGCGGGGACGGAATTTGGCACGATGGGGACAGGATCTGGCACGACGGGGACGGAATTTGGCACAATAGGGATGGGATTTGGCACGATGTGGACAGAATTTGGCATGATGGGGGTGGGATTTGGCACAACAGGGACGGGATTTGGCACAATGACAGAGTTTGGCATGATGGGGACAGGATTTGGCACAACGGGGACAGGATTTGGCACACATCAGGGGCTGGGACAGGACAGGGATGAGCTCGGGAGCTGCTGCGGGGACAGCCCGGCCAGGATGTCCCAGGATGTCCCCGCGGTGTCCCCACGGTGTCCCCACCAGTGCCACTGCGCGTTGTGGCTAGCCCGGCCAGGATGTCCCAGGATGTCCCCGCGGTGTCCCCACCAGTGCCACTACGCGTTGTGGCCGCAGCTCCCCCACACCCCGCGATGGGGGCGGCACTGGGATCCAGCTCCTGGGGGATTCCTGCCCCAATTCCTGCCCTGTCACCCTCGGGGATGTCCCCATGTCCCCAGAGCGGTGCTGGCAGGGAAGGGGAGGTCACAGGGGCCGGCAGCCGCCCCCCATTGCCAGGGTACACGGGATGATTCATCCCGGCCCGTTCCTCCTCCTCCTCCTCCTCCTCTCGGATCGCTCCTGGATTGTTCTTCCTCCTAGGGAAGCAATTGCACCAAAACCTGGCGGTTTGGGGCAAAAAAAGAAAAAAACCATCTGGGAGCATCTCCTTTTGGATCTCTCCCTCCCGGAGCTGCTGGGATGCTCCTGCTCGTGGCCCTGTGTCCCAGCACTGTCCCTTTCTGGGACACGAGTGGCACTTTTGGGAGGATTGTGTAATTCCGGCTGTTTTTTCAGAGTGCTTCAGTGACAGATTTCTGTCTCCTGTCGGTGCCATTGCTCGTTTTATCGCGGTTTTTCGGGTACTGCCCGTCCTGAAATCCTCTCCTCAGCCGCCTGCACTGCCAGGTCCCCCCCTCCAGGCAAGGGACAGCACCCCAGGGTCCCCCAAAATCCCCCAGCGAGCATCCCTGAGCCCCCCAAACCCCACACACAGCACCTCTGTATCCCTGAATCCTCCCCAACTCCGTATCCAGCACATCAGAGCCTCCAAAACTCCCGTCAAAAATCCCTGGACCCCCACCCAGCATCCCTGAGCCCCCCAAAAATCCTCAACCAGCCCCTCTGACCCCCCAAAATCCCACACACAGCACTTCTTTACCCCTGAATCCTCCCCAACCTCGAGTCCTGCACCTCTGGGCCTCCAAAACCCCACACCCCTGAACCCCCACCCAGAATCCTAGCACCCTGAGCCCCCCAAAATCCCCCACCCAGCGCCTCCGAGCCCTCCAAAAGTCGTCACCGCCCCCCCCAATTGTCCCCCCATTGTCCCCCATCACGTGACCCTCCCCATTCATACACCCGCTGGCTCCTCCCCTCTCTCCCTATTGGCTTCCTCCCTCGCGCCGCAACCAATCAGCGCCCAGCACCGGCGGCGCGCGGGGGAGGCGTTGCCGCGCGGGGCCGGCGCTGATTGGCTCCTCCCCCGGCTGTAGCCCCGCCCATAGCGGAAGCAGGAAGCGGGCGGGCCGGCCGTGACCCGCGGGCGGGCAGCGCCGGCCGCGCCATGACGGGAAAATCGGTGCGGGACGTGGAGCGCTACCAGGCGGTGCTGGCCGGGCTGCTGGCCGAGGACGAGAACAAGTTCTGCGCCGACTGCCAGGCTAAAGGTAGCGCGGATGGGCGGCGGGGCCTGCTGAGCCCGCGCCGCACCGGATGCACCCCCCTCGGTGCCCCCCCCACTCCCCACCGGCCTCGCCGCTCGGTGCTCTCCGGTGCGGGCGCTCCCCCGAGAGTCGGACAGCCCCGGTTGGGTCTGGTGAGGGTGGGCATCGCGGTGTTTCCGCCAGAGGGGAGCGCTCCGGTGATGGCGGGGGGACAACGGTGGTGCCCCGGCGGTTACGGGGGTTTGCGGGGGCTGGGGCAAGAACGGGGGGAGCTGGGGGCAAGAACGGGATGGGGCTGGGGGCAAGAGCAGGGTGGGTTTGGGGCAGAGAGCGGGGGGGGTCTGGGGCAGAGAACAGGGTGGTTTTTGGGGCAAGAACCTGGTGGTTTTGGGGGAAAGGACCCGGTGGTTTTAGGGGAAAGAACTCCGTGATTTGAGAGGGAGAATAGGATGGTTTTGGAGGAAAGAACCCGGTGGTTTTGGGGGAAAGGATGCCGTGGTTTTGGGGGCACAACAGGGTGGTTTTGGAAGAAAGAACCCGGTGGTTTTGGGGGAGAGAACGCCGTGTTCTTTGGGGGCACAACAGGGGGCTTTTGGGGGAAAGAACCCGGTGGTTTTCGGCTGAAAACCCCCACATTTTTGGCCGCAGCCCAGCTGGGTTTGGTGCGGGTCGCAGCGGGAGGAGCTGCGCTTCCCGGAGCCTCTGGAGGCCGAGGGGAGATGGGGAGGGAACGGCCCCAAATCTCCCTGTGGGAATCCCGGGAAACACCCCAGAGTGGGTGGGGGCCTCTGCTGAAAGGGGGAAGAAGAGGGACCTGGAAAAGCCGGCGCTGTGGGATTGAGGGAATTCCAGCTGGGGAGTCACATCCTGTCACCTGGGGCTGGAATGCCAGCGCAGGGAAGGAGCTGTAACCTCACCCTGGGATCGTGGACCACTGGAGGAATTCCACATTTTTGTCCTCCTTTCCCAGCTGGGTTTTCCCTGTGAGGCTGGTGAGGCCCTGGCACAGGAATCTGTGGCTGCCCCATCCCTGGAATTGTTCAAGGCCAAACTGGGATAGTGGAAGGGACAGGAGGAGCTTTGTGGTCCCTCCCAACCCAAACCATTCCATGTTTTTCTGATTCCAAGGTGTGTTATGACCCTGAGAGAGGAAATGTTTGAATTCCAGAGGATAAAACAAAAGAATAAAACTGTTCCTTGTCCCCTGTGGTTGCTGCTTTGTTTTCCTGCAGCAAAAGAGTTAAAGTTGCCCAAAATCCTGTTTTAATGAGCTGCCATAATCTCTTGGAGATCTGGATTTGAGCCTCGTTTCCCAAGAGCTGCTGGAATTGAACTTGGAGGAGGGATTGGCCAAATCCATCTGTAAACAAAGGGCTTGGTCACCTCAGTGTGACCTCCAAAACTGCACAGCCCCCTTGAACAGTGTTAAAAATGAGATAATTATGATTTCTTTTCACCCCAAACCACAATAACCTCATCCTTCCCACCTGCCTGGAGCACACCTGGCTTTGGGATGAAGGTGGTGGTGGGATCAGGATGTTCCTCTCCCTGGTGCCAATCCTTTATCTCTTGGCACCTCCTGCCAGCCCCAAGGGCAGAAATAGCTCCTTTATCTCAGCTCAGGCCTGGGAGAGAGCAAATTCCACCAAAATGGGAATAAATTCAACCCCACAGCTCGGGGTGGTGGAGCCTCTCCTGGTCACGGCGCGTCCTGGAAGCGCAGGATTCTAATTAATTAATTATCATGATAATGAAGCTCTAGTGTGGAGTTCAACCTTTCCTAAGCTGGAAGCTGCTCCTGGCTGAGGTCAGGGATTGCACCAATCCTGGAGAGCAGGCTGGGGCTGTCCCCACTTATCTGATCCACTAATTACCCCCTGCACTAATGAGATTCCTGGAAGTGGGAAATCTCCTCCTCCAGGGCACATGTGGCCATGGGAGCTGGCTCTGCCCAGAGCTCCAGGGAATTCTTGAAATTTTGGGGCAATTTTGGTACTTTTGATCAATGTGGTGCCACAGGAGCTGTCTCTGCCCAGAGTTCCAGGGAGAATTGTGCATTTTTGGGACAGTTCTGGTGAATGAAAGTGTCTCTACCCAGAGTTTCAGGGAATTCCTGAAGTTTTGGGGCAGTTCTGGTGAATGGAGCTGTCTCTGCCCAGAGTTCCAGGGAGAATTCCTGCACTTTTGGGGCAGTTTTGATATTTTTGGTGAATGGAGCTGTCTCTGCCTGAAGCTCCAAGGAATTCCTGCAGTTTTGGGGCAGTTTTGGTGAATGAAACTGTCTCTGCCCAGAGTTCCAGGGTTTTGCTGCATTTTTGGGGCAGTTCTGGTACTTTTGATCAATGTGGTGCCACGGGAGCTGTCTCTGCCCAGAGCTCCAAGGAATTCCTGCAGTTTTGGGGCAGTTTTGTTATTTTTGCAGTTTTGGGGCAGTTTTAGTGAATGGAGCTGTCTCTGCCTGAAGCTCCAAGGAATTCCTGCCGTTTTGGGGCAATTTTGTTATTTTTGGTGAACGTGGGGCTCTCCCAGCTCTGATGCCAAGGAAGTCCTGCTGTTCCTCCTGGAATAACTGCAACATTGCACTCTCCCCAGGGACTGGAGCAACCTGGGGTAGCTGGAAGTGTCCTTGCCCATGGCAGAGGGGAATTAAATGAGCTTTAAGGTCCTTCCCACCCAAGCCAGTGTGAGATTCTGTGAAATCTCAGAGTGATTCTGCTGCTGCAGCAAACCCTGCTCAGAGTTCTTGTTTTGCAGGAAATTGGGTGAAATCTCTCCACTCTCTTCCTCTTTTTGTTGCCAACCTGGTGTTTGGGGGAACTGGGAGAGCTGAGGCAGGGCAGGGTGGGCACTGCTGAGTTCCAATCCTCTCCTTGGAGGTCTTTGCTGTGGGAATCACTTGGAAAAACACCTGGAGAGAGCAGCACTTGCTGGGCAGGTGGGGTTTTTGCTGCTGGTGCCATTCCAAGGGTGGCTGTGGTGCTGCTGCTCGCTTTTTGTGTGTCTGAGAGATAACAGAGCTGCTGCACAGCCTGAGCTGAGCATCCAGCAGCACGTTCCTTGCTTGGAATGTGGCAGCCTGGAGCTGGGATGGCTGAGGGAGGGAGGGAT